TTACTTCCCATTAGGAACTTGGCACCGAGCCAAACACAATTTAACCATCTCGTAGTGGTCTGTTATTTCAATGCCTTGTCATTTAAAGGTCTTAACTTTGATGATGACTTTTCTTTCGTAGTATGCTTTTCGTTGCTGTCTCATTAAAAACCTTGCCAGAAAAACCCCGATTGGGACAAAAATTGGTCGAGAGAAAAAGAGTGCGGCACATACTTTTAGTATAGGCATGATCCATCAGCAATAATACCTTTTGAGGTGAGTCACTTTCCAATTGCTAGACAATTTAACTACATCTTGATTCTCTAGCTCGTATGAACCTTTACCGGTGACAGCTAAAACTCGGTAGGGGCCTTCCCACGTCGGACCCAACTTCCCAGCATCAATTTCCCGAGTGTTCTGAGTCACTTTCCGTAAAACCAAGTCTGATACTTTAAAGTTGCGGAGATTGGCCCTTTGGTTATAGTATCTTTCCATCCTTTGCTTCTGAGCCACCATCCTTGCGTGTGCCAAGTCCCTACGTTCATCGAGTAGTTCCAGCATTACCAGAAATGCCTTATTATTTGCTTCTTCATCTGTTCAGGAGAACCGTAAGGTTGGTTCTCGTACTTCCACTAGGATCAAAGCTTCTGCACCATATACAAGAGAGAAATGTGTATCTCCCGTGCTTGATTTTGTCGTCGTCCAGTACGCCCATAATACGCACAGTAATTCTTTGGGCCACTTGCCTTTAGCCACTTTTAACCTCTTTTTGAGGTTTTGGATAATCACCTAATTGGTCGATTCCGCCTGCCCATTAGGGCTCGGATGGTATGGTGAGGATGTAATCTTTTTGATTTTCTTGTCTATTAGATAGTTATGTGTAAATAGTCCTAGTCCCGCATATAGTAGGAGTAGAATATGTCCTAGTCCCACATGTAGCAGGAGTAGAATATGTTCTAGTTACATATGCAGTAGGAATAGAATATGTATTATATATAGGGCTCATTATATCATTATTAAATATATTTTTCTCCCGTGCATTCTCACATGGTATCAGAGCTTTAGTGAGAAAATTATCGTTGTGCGTCATTCCAGCGACATCCGGGAAGAAAGATCTCACCGTCGTGCAATTTTCCGGCAACTTCGTCTTGTTCTTAGGGTTCATCACTGCTATAGTAGTATTGTGCATATACCACTACCAGCATCAGATCTGAAACCCTTGTGCGACCAAACCCCAGAAATTTCAGTCCCATCTGAACGGAAAAGTGAGTCACCATGTGTCTTTCCGGTTGATGGCTCAAGATTGATTTGCGTTATGTCCTCATCAGTAAGTGTTGTGCGGAAACCAACACTACATCTTGTTCAGAAAAGTCAGGCAACAAAATCTTAGTCAATCGCTCCAGCAGAAAGTCACCCGCGCGCCTCCACGCACCGCTAGAACTAGGGTTCCGGCGAGCTACAATAACTTTCAGCGCGTGTTCCTGCCATTTTTTGACAAAACTTATTCAGGAAAAATTACTCGTCCAGTGATTCCGAGCCTACCCATATAAATTACATCAAATTCTGACAACTTTATTTTTTCCGGCGTGAACAGTGCACTTTCTAACGTGAACACTGATTTCCCGGTGTGAACAGTAGTTCCTAGAAAAGCTTCTGTTTTCTGGTGGTGTTTTACAACCTAATTTGCAGTGTGGAATTCAGCTTAGTCTCGCTATTTTCAAAATTTTCCAACAACTTTTCGGTCAACTTCTATTTATCAGCAACTACTTGGTTTTGTTGCTCAGCGGGAGTCTAGTGGCCTTGTATGTCGAATGATCAGCTTGCAGGTATTTTCACCAAGTCCCTCACTGGTCCTCGTATTAGTTACATATGTAACAGCTCGGTACATATGATCTGTATGCACCGGCTTGAGGGGGTATTAGATAGTTATGTGTAAATAGTCCTAGTCCCACATATAGTTGGAGTAGAATATGACCTAGTCCCAGTTGTAGTAGGAGTAGAATATGTCTTAGTTCCATATGTAGTAGGAATAGAATATGTATTATATATAGGGCTCATTGTATCATTATTAAAATAGATTTTACTCCCGTACGTTCTCACAAAGTCTTCAAGAAATTTTGTGACTTTGGACTCTATGAACTGTAGTCCATAATCACTAGAAATCTCCTTCGGTATTCCAAACCGGAAAATTATGTATTCCCATAGGAAGTTGATCACTTCGCGCTCACCTATATTTTGGTAAGGACCTGCTTCAATCCATTCAGTGAAGTAATCGGTTAAAATTAAACGGAATCTTACCCTTTGGGGACCCGGTGGTAGCGGCCCAACTATATCCATCCCCCATTTCATGAATGGCCACGGGGATAGTACCGAATGCAAGAGTTCCACCGGTTGGTGCACCAACTATGCATGGCGCTGACATTTGTCGCATTTTTGAATGAACGCCTTTGTGTCTTGCTCCATCTGAGGCTAGTAGTATCTTGTCTTAACCAGCTTTAACACCAACAAATTTGCATCGGAATGGTTCCCGCAAATTCCTTCATGGACCTCTCTCATCACGTAGTCTGCCTTCGAGGTACCCAAACATCGGGCCAGCGGGCCTTGGAATGATCTCCTACATAATTGTGCACCCATGAGGCTATAGCGAGCCACTTTGGTGCGTGGTGAACGGGATGCCTTCGGGTCTTCGGGCAACTTTCCATGCTGAAGTAATCGATGAACTCATTCCACCAGTCCCAGACCAGGTTTGTTTTATTCACTTCAAATAGCCGTCCACATCCAGTACCGAATGCATAAGTTGAACGATAATAATGGAGTCACGTCCTTTCATTTTTATGGACGATCCCTAATGGCCAATGCATTTGCTTCTACGTTCTCTACTCCCGGGATGTGTGTGATAGACCACTACCTGAATCGTGACTTCAATCACGTATTGTTGCATGCATTCCTCTTTCGCATCGAAAATCCCGTACACTTGGTTTACTACCAGTTGGGAATCATATTTAATTTCTATGACCTCAGATCCAAGTCCTCGGCCAATTCGAGTCATGGAACCAAAGCCTTATACTCTACTTCATTGTTAGGTAACGGAATATTTTTATAGCCTGCCTCAGGGTTTCCCCCAAAGGCGAGATTAGGACCAACCCGAGCCCGGACCTTTTCACAGTGGAAGCTCCATCTGTGAACAAGGTCCAAACTCCTTATGTCGTTTTCGACACCAGCGTCGATTCTTTAGCATCTAGGGGCCATAACCTGAGACTGAAATCGGCCACAAAGTCGGCCAAAACTTGCGATTTTATCGCAGTCTAGGCTTGTATTCAACATCTAATTCACTAACTTCGACTGCCCATTTGGCCAATCGGCTTGACAACTCAGTCTTGTGAAAAACATTCCACAAGGGGAAGGTCGTCACAATGGCTATCGAGTGGCACTGAAAATAAGGCCTAAGCTTTCGAGAGGTGACTACGAGAGCTAAGGCCAACTTTTCGAGGTGCGGATAAAGAGTCTCCGCTCCTGATAAAATTTTATAAACATAATAGACAGGAAATTGCGTACCTTCGTCCTCCTGGACTAAAACGGCACTTACCGCTACCTTCGAGACCGCTAAGTATATTAGCAATTGTTCCCCTTCCCCGGTTTTGACAATAACGGGGGGCTTGATAATAACGTTTCAGGTCTTTCAAGGATTGCTGACATTTCAGAGTCCATTTGAAATTGTTCTTCTTCTTCGGAAGAGAGAAGAAGTGTTGACATTTTTCCGAGGATCGAGAGATGAACCTGCTTAGAGCGGCCAATCTTCTAGTTAGCCTTTGGACTTCGTTTACGCTCATAAACTGGTCCGAGATTTCCTTGATGACTTTGATCTTGTCGGTATTTACCTCGATCCCTCTTTGTGAAACCAAGAAACCCAAGGACTTACCGAGGTCGACCCGAACGCGCATTTTTTCGGGTTGAGCTTCATGTTGCGCTTCCTCAAGATATCGAAGGTTTCTTGGAGGTGCTTTAAATGATCACCTACATTCAAAGACTTGACCAACATGTCATCTATATACACTTCCATTGTTTTACCTATCTACTTTTCGAACATCTTGTTTACGAGCCTCTAATAAGTGGCTCCGACGTTTTTAAGCTCGAAGGGAATAACATTATAACAATATGTGTCGAAGTTCATTATGAATAAAGTTTTTTTTTTTGATCCTCGGGGTTCATCTTAATTTGATTGTAACCGGAATAGGCATCGACGAAACTCATTAACTCGTGTACGGTCGTTGCATCAATCACTTAATCAATGTTTGGCAATGGGAACGAGTCTTAAGGGCACGCCTTGTTCAAGTCTTTATAATCTACGCATATTCGAAACTTGTCATTCTTTTTCGGAACTACAACTACATTACCTAACCATTCGAGATACTTTACCTCCCAGATTAAACCAATGTCAATTAATTGAGTTACATCTTCCTTAACAAACATGTTTCTCACCTCGGCTATCAGGCATTTCTTTTGCCTTACCGGAGGGACGCTTGGGTCCAGGCTTAGCTTATGCACGACCACCTCTAGAGGGATACCTGTCAAATCCGAGTGCGATCATGATAAACAATCAATGTTAGCTTTAAGGTAATTAATAAATCCTGACCTGAGTTTGGGATTGAGTCCTTTTCCCAAGTGAAATTTTCTCTCCAAGAATTCCTCAAACAAAGCTACTTGTTCGAGTTCTTTTGCCGTGGATTTGGTCGCGATTGTCTCTTCCGGTACTTGAAAGTATCTAGGTACCTGGTGGGATTCCGACGACTCCTCGCCCTTGTTATCTTCACTTGGAACGGGAGCAGGCGCGGTTCCTGTAATTGCTATTTGTTGGGCTCCTTCCCTTTACTACTGGAAATCAACACTGCATTCATTTCTCTTATTGCCGATTGATCTCCTATTATCTGTTTGATTCCCTCTAGGGTCGAGAATTTAAACAGTTGGCGATAGATTGATGGCACGACCTTCATCTCATGTAACCGTCTACCGAGAATTATATTTTATCCCATGTAACCGTCCACCACTTCAAATAAGGTGGTCTTCGGAACCCCTTCGACGTTCGTGGGTAGCAGGTTCTCTCCACGGGTTATCACACTCGCCAAGTTGAACCCGGCGAGGAGCTTTGTTGCCGGAATGATACTTCTAGTTAATTTGGCGTGTTCCAGCACTCTCCATTGAATGATGTTGGCTGAGCTTCCTGGGTCAACCAAAACACGTTTAATCTTGAAATCTAAAACATTAAGAGAAATTACCATGGTATCGTTATGCGGCAGAAGAAGTCCGTCGGCATCTTCCTCCGTGAAGGTGATGTCGTCTTTGGCGACTTCCCGGAGTCTCTTGATGTAGGTCAGCGATACTTTTGTCTTCTTAGTCGCTAAGAAGGTTACATCATTGATTTTATTCCATCCGAAAATCATGTTAATAGTCAACCGAGGAGGGTCTTCCCCTATATTCGAGGGTTCTGCGTTGTCCCGGTTGCGACTGTAATTGTTCTTGGCTCGATCTCTCAAGAACTCCATGAGATGGCCGTTCTTTATCAGCGTTGCCACCTCCTCGCGCTGCCACGACCCAATTTCCATACCCGGTCGTGATGGCGCCTCTCGTGAAGACAAGGCTAGCCAACTAACCCAATGCGTTTCTTTAACAATTTTTAACATAAATGTATAGATAAATATAGCTTAACGACAATAATAACCAGTATGTACAACCCAACACAACCCGACCGGGGTGTCACAAGTCACGAACATATAAAGAAACCTGAACACAACTACAGGGCCAATAATAATATATAAGGAAAAATCCTGGAAATCAAAAGACAACATCCGGTGCCGCGAACGCTGGTGGTCACCTTACTCAGCTACAATATCCATACCTTCAATCAGCTAATAACCCGCTACCGGGTGAACAATACCTGCAACTGCACGCGAGGTGCAGGGAGTAAAGTGAGTACTTCCAACTCAGTGGTAATACGAGTAAATAATAACTGAGAGGCAAGAAATCACATAAGAGCACTCCATCATGCTATATAGGACAGTACCACTCTTTGAGAAAAACAGTAAAACCGTGAAAAATCCTTTTACAAAATATCTGGCTCAGTTTAAAAACCTCTTTTGAAAATATCCTTTTGCAACAGTCAAGCAAATGAATGCGTATTCAGATAATGCAAGTCCGCACATAAGTCAGCCCCTCGGGCACAACACTCCACTAACAATTAACACCAGGGCGTCTGGAAAACAGTGCAAGAAGTAGCATGAATGCCAATGATATGAGAGCGCTAAATGTCATGACACGTAGTACAAACAGGAACCAATGCATGAATGCAATGCAATGCATATGACCGTTGCGGCGCGCAGCCCGATCCATTTGGGTACCCGCGCTCACTGTGGGGTTTCAGACTCCGGAGGGGCTCCTACAGCCCAAGCGCAATATCATCATAGTATCGCTGCGGCGTGCAGCCCGATCCATCCTCAGTCCAGAACATGCAAATGAGCCACTCGGGCAATGTCAAGTAATAGCTTTTAACTCAAAACATCAGAAAAATACAATTTAAGTCTTTAAACTTTAACAATATGACTGCACATTTCAAAACAAGGTTTAACTCAGGACTAAAATCATTTAATATGCTAAGTGTCATGAAAACAGTGATAATAATCCCTAAAGGATTCAAATAATCGGCACGAAGCCCAAAACATGGCAATCAACGCAAATCACGATAGCATCAAGTAGGTTTCAGTCAATTACGCAGTAAAATCAACAATCGGGACGGACCAAGTCGCAATCCCCAACGGTGCTCTACCCCACGCTCATACCTGGCGTGCAAGTCACCACAATACAGCACTATGATGTGCAAATCTGGGGTTTCAAACCCTCAGGATATCATTTACAAGTATTACTCACCTCGGACTGGTGAAATCCCTAGCTCGCGACGCCTTTGCCCCTCAATCGGCCTCCACGCGCGTTGAATCTAACCAAAACCAGGGCGAATACGTCAAAATATGCTAAGGGAACAATACCCAATCGAAAACAATCAAAAATTAGCAAGAATATCGAAACTAGCAAAACCCGAGCCCCGGGACCGCTTCTCGAAAAATTACGAAATTCACATCACCTGATTCCTCGTCTCGCCACGAGTCCATACATATAAAATTTACCAAAATCGGAGTTCGTTTGACCCTCTAAATTTCATTTTTACATTATAATTTTCTCAAACCCTAACTTCCATTTTTAACCTTTAATTCCTTGGATTTTCAGTGTTAATCCATGATTTTATACCATAATATCATAATCTAAGTCTAAGAATCCATACCTGATGATAGCACTCGAAACCCTCTTCAAAAATCGCCCAAAATCTCCTTAGTCCGAAGTCCAAAATGTTTCTTCTCTTTCAAAATCGTGAAAACACTGTTCACTTAAACTCAGCCAGGTTTCGCTTCTGCGGTTGGGATACCGCACCTGCGGCTCCCGCTTCTGCATAAAATAACCGCTTCTGCGGTCTAACTTAAAATCCTCAGGACCGCTTCTGCGGTCACCACCCGCTCCTGCGATGTCCGCTTTTGCGGACTGCCTTCCGCTTCTGCGGAAATTGCCAAGCCTTCAAGGACTGCTTCTGCGATCACAGCTCCGCTTAAGCGGCTCCGCTTCTGTGGTCCAAGACCCGCAGAAGCGAGAATACCAGAAACAGCATGCCTTCAGCTGTATGAAATTCCAAAAACTCCCTGTTAGCCATCCGAAATCATCCCGAGGCCCCCGGGACCTCAACCAAAAACACCAACACATCCTAATACCTTATTCAAACTTGTTCCAATCCTCAAAACACTTCAAACAACACTAAAATCATCAAATCACATCGGATTCAAGCCTAAGTTTCTTAAAAACTTCCGAATTACGCATTCGATCAAAAACCCGACCAAACGATGTCCGAATGACCTGAAATTTTACACACATATCCAAAATCACCTAACGGAGCTACAGCAACTCTCGGAATTCCATTCCGACCCTCGGATCAAAAATCTCACCTATCAACCGGATTTCGCCAAAATGCTAACTTCGCCAATTCAAGCCTAATTCTACACCGGACCTCCAAAACCAATTCAGATCACGCTCCCAAGTCACAAATCATCTCCCGAAGCTAACCGGATCATCGGAAATCACACCCGAACCTTCGAACTCATAAGTCAACGTCCGATTGACTTTTCCAATTTAAGCCTTCCTTAAAGAGACTAAGTGTCTCATTTCCTATCCAAACCAATTCAATTCAACTCTAACTCACTCGTTGCTGATAATGAAACATAAAAAAGCAATAAATGAGGAAAACAGGGCGGTAATACCTGATACGACGGGTCGGGTCGTTACACGCGCAAATGCCATAGTCTCCAATTTTGTGGCTATGAGTCCCATGATATTCGCACCATAAGTTGGGATCCTTTTGGTCATCTGATTGGCTTCGGGAATCGTGCTTCTTTAATATTCGTCATCGCTGATACCAGCTCCACTACGCTGATGTTGAAATTGTCATCTGACAACTTGGGATAAGTAGAATCTTGGGTCCCCGATACCTTTTTTCCTTGCAATGATCTATTGTTCCGGCCACAGTCAGTTATTCTTTCGAGAGCAAACCTATCTAAGGACTAGAACCCTTTACTGTCGTGTCCCTCCTCTCTTTCGTAAGGCAAAAAGCAGCCTTTAAAAGATCGCCGGACTACATCAAAATCATCCTTGAACTTATCCCGGTTCTTGTCTCGGTCCCGCTCCTTGGTTGGTGTTGGGAACCCCAGCTGATCATCTTCTATCCTTATTTTTGATTCATAGCGGTTATGGACATCCGCCCATGTGGTTTCTTGGAATTCGAGCAGGCTTTCCTTCAACTTTTGGGAGGTGTCAAAGTTCCTCGGGTTCAAACCCTTCAACTCTCCATAGACCTAGGGATTCTGAGTCTATTTTTTCAAATTCGAGCCCTTCAAAATTGGTGATGCGTCCGGAATTTGGTCCATTCGGGCGTGAAACTCCTTCGCGTTCTGATCCATCCGCTTGTTCATCTCCCTCATGGATCTCATGAATTGTGTTTTGACGGGATCATTGTCGTTGTCGTTAACGGATCCGCTACCAGTCCCCCCAGCACCGCAAAGGCGTCCTCACCCCTAGGGGTATTGTTATCAACTCTTTGAGCTGTCTGATTTGCAGGAACGCCGGGCAGAGCCGGGCCTCTTCTATTTGCATTGTTGGAAGCGTCCCACAACACTTTCTTCAATTCTGTCATGACCTGGTCTTGCCTTGAGAGATGAACCATGATGGCCTTTTGTTGCTCTCTCAAGATTCTTACTGTTTCCGCAACGCGTTCACCTTCCGCGTCATCGGGAGTTGGCCCTCGTATATGTCGAGGGTACTGTCCGTCATGGACCGGAGTTGCCTCGTCCCCTTCGTTGTGGGTGTCACTGATTGAATCCTCATGTTGAGGTAGGTCCTCATGTCCCTCAACGTTGTGTGCGATGTTGACATCGTTAACTGCCATTTTTGGTTTTTGCTAAGAAACAAAGAATTAAACAATTTAGTAATAAACGCAAGGATCAACTCAATTACGCAACTGTCTAAGCCCCACGGTGGACGCCAAACTGTTTCTCCGTAAAACAGTACAGTTGAATTTGTTATGTGTTGATCCAAAAATGATTAATAAACTAGATTGAAAATAAGAATTAGCGTCTAAAAATAAAGGAAATGATAAGCCTGGCCCCGGGAGTAATGCTTCCGAAACAAAAGTAAGAACAATATAAAAAGCGAGTAAAGTTATTTGATTTAGCTTTAGAATAGAATGTAGCATAAGTTTTGCCAAGAATTTTGTATCCTTACAATGGTTGTTGAGCCTACTATTTATAGCTAGACCTAGGGAAACAAGGCCATGGGATCGAGCCCCTCTTAAATGACAATAAAGGGGGGCCATTTACGAATATGTAATGGTACGCTATGAATGCAAATATTCTCTGAAACGACTGCCCATTTAATGCCAGGAAATATTCGTCATTAAATGCTTTCTGATGGCAAACATTCGATCTGATCACGTTGATTGTGCTCCCTTCGGGGTCTATCCGATACCAATGGAAGTTATTGTTTTCGGAACTGGTTGTTACTCGATTTATCTTTTGCTTGTCTTCAGTTCCACGTGTCACACTACCATTCGACCATTTAATATAAGCCAATTTTACCATGTACGAATACCAAAACAAATTCTTAAATAATAGCAGAAAAAATAGAAGTATAAGTAGAAAATAAATTTTTACTAGATAAAATTATCTTTTTGATAAATTTATATTTATCAAATTATCCCTCATTAACTTAACCTTATCATTTTCTTTTTTTATTTCTACCATTCTTTCTCCTTCTCGTTCTTAAGTTTCATCGTCTTCTCTAATTAATTAGTCAAGCACAAAATGTATCTCCCCAAAGAACAGTTTTTGGCAGCTTGATCAAATGGATTTTTAAGTTTCCGTTATGCAACACCATAGAGTGTGGGGGTACAGTGAAGATTTCTTTATCATTAATTAAAGATTTCGAATTCAAGTTTCAAGAGTGGGTCATTTTTTCTATC